CTACATAATATCATAATTCAATATCGAGATAGGCGAACCACTTGGTCACATGTAAGGAAATTCGTGGAACACTGTGGGTACCTTGTAAGGGACAGACTTCTGATCAGTGCCCGTGAATGGAAGCAAAAGATCAACGAGCCTCATGTTAGTTATGTCTGTGATCTTGATAAGAATTTAATTTGGGATGATATCCTTCAACATTTCACATTGCAAGCGAATGATTATGATGCTATCAACGATGATGAATTGAAGGACCTAGTTCGAAAGTGGGCTATGAAGAAGATGGCCACACAATTCCAGACTTGGAAGAAATCCCTATACACGAAATACGTCAAGAAGGACCTAACGCCCAATTTCAATACTAGGGGCCCTCTCGCAAAGTTGAGGCCCTACTGGAATGATTTTGTACAGTACAAGACATCAGAAGAGGGTGAGGAACGGGTGAGAAGGAACCAAGAGAATGCCCGATAGAAGGTATACCACCATGGCATGGGATCAGGTGGCTACGCGACTGCCATTCCCAAGTGGGAAAAATGGAAGCAGACATTCTTGCCAAGGGTATCACACCAGAATCACTCAATTGGCCCAAGCGCGCGAAGAATTGGTTTTTCGCTCATGGGGGGAGACCGGAAAGCTGGTTCAAGGCCCAAAACTCGAAAGAGCAACACAAAGATTTTCTTATGCTCTACAAGCTAAAGCTATGGGTGTGTTCAGGCCCAATAGAGAGAAGGATGAACTGACGTATGCTATCGGGACTACTGAACACAGTGGCCGAACGAGAGGTTTAGGACGGAACATTTCTTGGGAGCATGGTTTCCCTAACGACAGAGATACCTATAGAAGCCGGTAGAGAAGGAAGGATGAGGAAGCGGCGCGGATCAGCAGGTTAGAGGAATATGTTCGTGAGTCACGGGAGGCGTTGCTTCAAGCATAGGAGCACGAAAAAGACATGCAAGCTAGAATGTAGGATGAAATCATAAAGCAAGTGCAAATAGCAATGAGTGCCCAAAGGCAGGCATCAGATCCAGGAATCAACATTAATATTAGCCCCCCTGATCATGATGACGCAACGCTACGTTTTCCCATGGATGACATCACTGCACCGTTTACATCATGTGAGCTACATATTCCAAAAGGGAATGCCACGATCATGGTGGCTCTCGGTGTTTTTTCTTCTCCAGATCCTACCAAGACACCAAGAATCCATGAGGCAATAATACCACCTGAATATGTTAGCGTCTCAGTGGATAGAGTTAATAAAGGTTTTAGTGATATGGCTCTTGACATTCCAAGAGGTGATGGAGAGAAGACTCTAGGAGATGCAGAGAAGACATTCATACTATGGCGTAAGCGCTACATCATTATTCCTAGGATCTCTAGTTCACCGCTGCTTCCTCAACTGCCAGACAAAAGTGAACGAAACAATTTTTTACTAATTTTCTATTGACATACATGATTAATAATAACAATTTCTTATACCCAATTATTCTTTTTTGTACTCACACAGTAGGACCTCCGCCAACCTAAGTCCAATTATTCAATCTCTAGGTCATCATAGTGCTCCGGGCAATCAGGTGGCAACGCTGCCACCGCCGCGACCTCCAAGGAGGTCTCCAACGCCTCCAAGGAGGTCTCCAACGCCTCTAAGGATGTCTCCAATGGCTGCCCCGCCTCCCTTGATGACCAAAAAGCAGCTAGCTCCTAAGAGGTCTGCCCCGCAAACGAAGCCGTTGGCCCACCAGCCAGCAAAGAAGAAAGCCTCCTCTAATCTAGTTATTCCTCAAAAACTATCTTACGAGAAAAGTGAAAAGGAATTAAATGCTGCAGTACAAAAAGATGTGAACAGTTTCTTAAAAAAGTAAGAAAGCAACGAGAAGCGAGGGAGAACCCGGAGAAACCGTACTTCTACCTACCTCCAGATTTTCTAAGAAAGAAGGTGGACCAGAAAAAGCGGCAATCTCAAAAGACCCTGCCAAAATCGGACTACAACCGCTCTCTCACCAAGTCATTTGAGGCGGCGCAGAAAAAGACTAGAGCAGAGAAAGGTGTTGCACAACTCGGGCAAAAATCACAACAATCAGTCCCCCCTATTGTCATTTGTAATGAATATGGTTCAAACTTAGATTTACTAGACGTCGATTTTGAGGACCTGGCTCGGTTTTACGAGAATACCGGTTTGGACCTTGCCCAAGTGCTCGCTGAAGGACCATCTGCTCCGAAAGTGGATCATTGAAAGAAATTTGAACATGAAAAGAGTCTATACAACCCTGAGGCCTTAGGTGAACTGGGTATGCAAATGTACCTGCTAAACAAGTGGTATATGGCGGCGTGTGAACGGGGAGAGAACTTTATTTCTGTCAGAGTTAGAAACCAACATTACTTTCGTGGCGATGACGTTATATATGTCGAGTTTTTAGAATTACACCAACTATGCCACCTGGACTCTCTCGACAAAAGTCTAATTAGCTGCTATTTTCCTGTAAGTGTGATTATTTTCTACTATTAAAGTGTGTATATATAAAGCTACATGTATATATATAAATTATATATCCTCACACTATATTTTTATATATGCAGATATGAGATGACAGAACTCAGAAAGAGAAAGGATAATGATGTTGGTTTCGTTGATCCAAATGTCGTATTCAAACACCCTAATCCCCCGCCTCAATGGAAAGCTAAACTCGAGAAAAATCTTATGAGGTTCTTAGTGAACCAACAAAACAAGGACATACTCTTCCCCTACAACTTCAAGTGGGTGTTAAATAATTAATGTCGATCATATGGACATTTGTTCAATTATTTGCTTACTAGCTAAGCTATCTCCCATATATATATGTTGACTCTAGTTAATGTCGATCATATTTGTATATAAAGACATATGCAACAATCACTGGGTATGGCCAATAGTCGGTTGAGCATCTTAGACTCGTTAGGAAAAGAGCAAACAGAGTACCAAGACATGATAGATATTATCCAAGGGTAATTTGGTCTCTCTAGCAACTATATATACCCCGATCTCTTAACTGCAACAATTATTAAAGGCCAAATTAAAATTTTATTTTATTGGGCGCAGTATTTGGAAAAGTTTCATTGAGGAACACCACATGAAACATTGCAAAACGTCATTGGATGTAATCACACACAAAGTAAGTACTAGCTACATTTATATATATATATAATTCAATTAACACCATGCATGCTTTCAATTCACCGGATCTTTTTTCTCATAAAAGTGGGTTCTGAGGCAAGAACAGGAGAACAACTACTGCGGATACTATGTTTGCGAGTTCATCATGGCGTACGCAAAAAGAACTCCTAAAGACATCCTCAAAGTACGTTATATAAATATATTCATATATTCATAATTTCTTTTATTACTCATATATATAAGTAATCACATGACCAACACACACACATATATATATATATATTAATACTTTTCCTTTAACTTTTATTGAAGACTTTATGGTTGAAGGAAAAAGTCATACGACGTGACCAACTGAAAGCAATTCAAGAGACCATAGCAGGATTTCTTAATGACCAGGTCTTAAACCCCACCGGCGAGTTCTACAATGACGTGAACGAAACATGGAAGCCAAACCAGATGGAGTGAATTTGTTATCCCAAGGATATGATACAATATACAATGCAAGCTTTATTTATAATATATATACATATTATATGTACATAAAATAACGTACAATATATGTATATGCATGTAATATATACGTTAGTTTCATACCTTTGTTTGTATATAATATTCGAACATTATAAGCGTGTAGAATACGTATATTATTAGCAGCGTAGAATGCATATTCAAAAACCTATTCGAAAACCAAAACGAAACATCAATTGAAAATAGAAACAAAAAATATAGAAAAAAAAGAAAACCTTTAGTCCCGGTTGGTAATACCAACCGGGACTAAAGGGCCGGCCTACGTGGCCAGGCCAGGAGCCCTCTTTAGCCCCGGTTGGTACTACCAACCGAAACCTTTAGTCCCGGGCGAGAAAGCGGGACTAAAGGAGGGGCCCTTTAGTCCCGCATTCGTGCTCCCGATTAGGAAACCGGGACTGAAGGGGTTTCCCAATCGGGAGTACAGCTCATTTTTGTACTAACGTGTATTTTGTAATGTTCACGTAGTATACATGTGATGTTCTATTATATTTTCGTGATGTATTTTTATGATGTTCAGTAATGTACATGTGATGTTCACATGATATACACACGATGTTATATGATATTTTTTGTGATGTTTACGTATTATATATGTGATGTTTTGGGATGTATTTTATGATGTTCACGTAGTATACATGTGATGTTCTGTGATATATTTTGTGATGTTCATGTAATATACATGCTATGTTTGCGTAGTATACATGTGATGTTGTATGATGTATCTAGTGATGTTCACATAATATATATGCGGTATTCTATAATATATTTAGTGATGTTCATCAAGCATACTTGTGATATTCTATAGTATATTTTAGGATGTTTGAAAAATATCTATGTGATGTTCTTTTAAATTTTTCTCTATTACGTGTTTTTAGTTTTTCTTATGCTTTGCTCTATATTTTATTATTTTTTATTTATGTATTGTACATATTTATTTATTTTATGTATGATATAATATCAATTTCATGAACCTTAAACTAGAATATTGTTCTTCTAAACTAAGAACATTTTTGTTACGAAGATGGGCGTGAATCTAGAATATCGTCTCTGCTCAATAAAAGAAAAATGTTCGATCTTCATAAGATAGATGTTCGTTAATAAAATTTTATCTAAATATATATTCATATGAGATCTTGTTTTGAAGGATTTATTGCAAAAAAAACTCGAAGGTACAATCGGAATTTAATTTAAATATTTGTTTTAGAATTTATGACTTTTTTTAGTTGGTTGAAAGTCGCTGCATACGTACGAAAGCTGAGAGGAGTGAGGTGGGCCTGCGCGATGGGACAGCCTATCCCAGGCAGCCGGCCCCTAGTGCGCGCTACTGTCCTCTGAAATTATTTTCGCGCGCTTTTGCCGGTGCGGGGTATCGTCCGATCGTCGGACCGTAGCAGCCCCCGATGTCATCCTGGCTCAGAACGATGTACCTCTCCTCGGCGGGTTCCACCGCATTAGCATCGTCGACCTCTGTCTCCGCGTCATCGTCGCTGTAGTAGTAGACCAAATCCTCACCGGTGCAGTTGCCGTTATCGTCGATCTCGTCAGCGTTTATGATGTAATGTCCCGTGTTGTCTCCAGTCTGGCCATTGTCGACTGTTGAAGCGGCAGCGATCCGGCATCTCTTTCTTGGGCCATTCTCGCCATCGCCGTCGTCCATGCTTCTTTTCTTCCTGACGCGCAGCCGCCACCCTCACCGCGTTCGCCTGTCTACATACCGCGCCGCCAGGGCGAATGGTTAGAGATGCGGGTGCTATGCGGACTCTCCTAAAATATTGTTGACTAGAGGATTTTGCTTCCAAACAAACTCCGGTGGATATCGTTATAATTTGGTGAAAACCAATCAACTTTGTAACTAAATTATTGCGTTCCCCGCTTTGACATCTGAAAAATCTTCGAGCCCTGGACCAACAACATCTATACCTAGGATTGGTAAACTCAAAGCGAATTATGGATAACGGCATGTGAGTAAAAATCTATTGTTTGATTACTAGTATAGTGTTGATCCAAATATATATTAAAATATTTGGATTTTTTTTTTGAATTTTATATCTATAATCTGTTTATAAAGTCTAATTGACCTCCCTGATTAATCGTAAAAGTCCGATTTACCTTCTTAGTGGCTGGTGTGGCGTCACGTAGGATGGTTGACCTGGATCACATTAACCAAAACCCCTCAGACGGTTTCAATAATTTGAGGAGTAACAAACATCTGGTTTTCTAGTTGAATCAAACTACCCTGAGCATCTCTAAGGTTTTTTTTCTACATTCTTGTTTTCTATTTCTGGCTAGCCACTACTACACAAACTTTATTGGAGGCGGGCATTTTCGGTTTTCCACGGTAGGCAAAGCCGTCCGCCGCGGCCTAGAGGCCATGGTAAATCGTGGTTTAACCGTGGCGGGCGGCCTTGCCCGCCGCGGTTAACCGATTTACAGCGGCAGGCGGTGTAACATGCCCACCACGGTAAATATACTTTTACCACGGCGGGCACGTTAGGATGCCCGCTGCGGTGAACCCGCCGGTGAGCCCGTTCTCGAGCCCACTGGCGAGCCCACCGGCGACGGATCCGGGCTTCCCACGGCTGTAGATCCGTGCCGCTCGGGGAGGGAGAAGAGGAGCAGCCGGCCAGGCCCCAGCGTCTCTAGAGAAGCCGGCTGGACATGCCGACGCCACTGCAGGGCCGCCACCACCTCGCCAGTCAGCTCCGGAAGGCCCGGGATGGGCGCCATGCCCACAGGATCTGTGATGCCGTCGATTGGGAGGGAGGGAGCCACCGCCCCGACGTGGATCCGCGACGTCTCCGCGGGTTGGGGCTGCCCCCCTCCGAGGATCCGTGCCGGCGCCGCCCAGCCGTGGATCTGCAAGGGTGTGAGTGTGAGGGACGAGATCTACCATTGATCTGAGAGAGAAGAGAGAGGGCTCCATGCCGCATACCTCTCCTTGCGCCGGATCTGCCACCACCGTCGGGGCCTCCAAGCCGGCCGGAGGAGGGAGAGGAAAGGGCGCCGTCGGGGCCTCCACCGCCGGCCGGAGGAGGGAGAGGAAGGGGCGCCGTCGGGGCGTCCATCGCCGCCGTCGTTGGAGTGGGGAGGAAGAGACAGAGGGAGGAAGGAAGCGACTGCGCGAGGGAGGGAGGAAGAGACCGAGGGAGGAAGAGAGTGGGGAGGCCGGCTGCACCCAAAACCCTAAGTAGCTATATATACGTGTAGATGAATATCGGGCCAGCTTGGGCCTAATGGGCCTAGGCTTTTTCCATGGCGGGCTTTTAACGTTGTCCGCCACGGTAAATCAATTTACTGTGGCGAACGTCTTAAGTAGCCCGCTTCGGTAAATAGGCATTTTCTGTGGCGGCCAATTTAAGACGTTCGCCACGGTAAATCGATTTACCGTGGTAGGCAAAAGTGCCCGCTGCAGTAAATAAAAATGCTCTCCGCGGTAAATCATTGGATTAACCGCAGCGGGCAAAAATAGGTGCCCGCCGCGGAGTGCAAAAGTGCAACGCTGCGCAAAATCGTTTGTGTAGTAGTGAGCGAGAAATCCGGATTCCAGAATAGAAGATGCTATATTTTGATACACAAATAAAGAAGCTGTTGGATGTTATTTTTTCACCAAAATCTCCATTCCTAGTAAATTGAACGGAAATGCTGTGGTGCGGGCGCTCGTCCGTCCGGACACCGCCTTCCCCAAAAAAACAGTTGTCTCCCAAATGCACCTCGCGCCGTCACTGCTTCATCGCGCCGTGTGGCCGTCCGGCGAGCTACCCGCCACCCACTCTCTGCGCCATTGGCGAGCTCCGCGCCATTGGCGAGCACACCGGTGACCTCCACACGCAGCCCACCCACCCTCTGTGCCACCACCGCCCCTTGCCACTCCCACACCCGCCCTCTGTGCGTCGCTGCCCAGAACTACATGGCCGGCGAGCACACTGATGACCTTCACGTGCCGACGAGCCTCCATTCGCCGAAGCGGCAAGGAGATGTTGCACTAAAAGCGCATGTTGCAAATGTATGTTCAAGTATTTTAGAAGTATGTTGCAAGTGTTTTATATCGATTTTGCAAAAGTAGATCGGGATGTTACAAAAGTAGATCGAGATGTTGCACATGTTGCAATGGTTATACATGTATGTTTTAAGTGTATGTTTCAAATGTTTCATCTGTATTAGATGTATATTGCAAGTGTTTCATCTGGATATTGCAAAAGTAGATCTGGATGTTGCATATACATGCATGTTGCAAGCGTATGTTTCAAGTGTTTCATGTTTCATACGTATGTTGCTTTTTCATCTGAATGTTGCATATGTTTGCAATGGCTTCACACGTGTTTGCAAGTTTTTTCTCATATTTTGCAAGTGTTTCAGACGTATGTTGCAAGTGTTTTAGCTGTTTTAGACGTATGTTGCAAGTGTTTCATCTGAGTATTGCATATGTTTGCAGTGGCTTCATACGTGTTTCATGTTTTTTCTCATATTTTGCAAGTGTTTCAGACGTATGGTGCAAGTATTTTAGCTGTTTCAAACATATGTTGCAAGTGTTTCATCTGGGTGTTGCAAAAGTAGATTCGGTGTTACACATGTTGCAATGGAACCTACCTGCTGCAGCTGTTGGGTGATGTCCGGGCGGTGTGGGCCCACTGCTGGGTGATGTCTGGGCGCAGACGGGCGCGTGAGAAACCGAGCGCGGGCGTGGGGGCCCATGTGGTGGGGCGCGTGAAAAACAGGAGGCGCGGGCTCCATTTCTCTTGCGCAAGTGACACCATCCGACGCTAGCACTCCGGATCGGACATCCAAGTGCTAGCAAGTCCGTAAATTGAAAGGATATAGAGAGTTTCTTGGAGGTGAGGGTTAGAAGGATTTTCCCCTTTTAACTATGATGAGCAGCAGTTTTTTAGATGAAAGAAGAATTATATTAGATTATAGGTGAGGACATCACCATCACATTACAAAGTACTCTGGAATACACTATGTATATCCAGAAACTGATCAACTAAATTGTATCCACGCTTTGTATAGCTCAAAATCTCAACTCCAAACCTGTATGACGATTTATATGGATGACCGCATAGGCAAATACTCGGCAAAAGGCATGAGAACAGATGCCCAACGAATGACAGCCAATATTCCTGCAGATGAAGTGGAGAAACTTTTCTTTCTACCACCAAAGAATAAGGAAGACTGAGCTAAAAATTATTCTCCCTAGTCCTTCATCATGCTTAGATCTAACCACAACAAAACGGAGAAGAGACCGCAGAAAATTATTCCATGGTGGTGACATCATCTCCGCCTTGATGTCGCCGTCCAGAAAACCAAGTTTCCATGTCGTCAAGCCGAGGAAGTTACTGACGCCATTGTCACCCTCATCTTCCACAGAGCCTACATGGAGAAAACGAATCCATCTTGCCCCCTCTTCGTCGCCGGGGGAGAGGAGGAGGAGGAGATAAATCCCCAGTACCAAGCAATTTGGCATGGAGAAACCCTAACCCTAGAAAAACTTATTAAAACATTGGATCCCCACTCTCTCTGGCCTCCGGCAAAATGCCAGACGAAGAAGGGAGGGGAAGCAACGGTGGTGGAGGCGGGGGCAGCGGCGGCGGCTCTCCAAGGGCGAAGCGAGTCGTGAGGCTACCTGGCAAAGCGTGAGTATTACGGACGCCAGGGGATGGTCTATGATGACCAGCAGTTGTGCGGGGCCTCGCTTCTCTTGTTGCGTTGCCATTCGAATGTCACAGAGAAATCTATACGCCAATTTTTTTTGTACCTAGGTTGTGAAAATTAAAGTTTTTGGTTCCAGCATGCATATTTGAGTTGAGTTGAGAAAAAGGTTGTGGCCTGAAGTATCACAGGTTCGTATGCTGTGCTTTTTCGATTGGGCCTCAGTTGAGAAAAACGTGCATGCATGCATACGCGGGCCGGGCTGCAATTTTAATTTAAACAAAGGTATATTATTTTTGTTGCTGATCATCTCTATCTCTATCTCTATCTCTATCTCTACCCCTATAATACACCACTTTAAATTATCCTACAGTCATCAAACAAATCCCACCTCTACAGTCGTGACCTAAACTACGTCCACCCCACAAAACGCACATACAAAAAGATAACATTAAAAACGTACGCACGAAATTAACTTTCACTCATTCTCTCTCCTTACTCGACCACATCCGACGGCCGATATTCTTTGATCTCCCACCCCGATCTCCCCACTTCGCGCGCAATCTCCGTCTTCCCTGTTATCCCCCAGCCCCAGCAAAACCTCGATCTTCCATGCCTTTGTCTGCCCACCCTGCGCCGCCGCTACCCGCTGGAGGAGCGTGATGCGTGGGTCCTCATCACGGCACACGTCGCGCAGGACCGGCATCCCCCTTCTTTGATCCATTGGCGCAGATGCAAATCGCTAATCCACCATCCACCTGATCTCATCCATGTCCTGCCGCCGTCGTCGCCAACGACTATAGGTGACGATTGGTTCCCAGCCGGCTTCCTGTGGAGGAGTTCGGTCCCCGCAGAGGTTTTACAGGCGGTAGGTTTTGCACTGCTCAAGAGAGCAGATAGACAAGATTCAGGGGAAGGCCACGGGTGCTTGGCCTTGCTTGTGATGTGCTCGCTCTGGTTTTTCTATTAAATTGATTTTGCTTATTATTCTTCTGATGTTGCTTTTACTAATCCAGGTGCAACACTGCTGGGGATCAAGAAATATTTTCGTGGCGGTGGCAACGCGCTGTACGATTGGCTCGGTGACGGCTCATCGCAGGGCTTCTGCTCGTGGTGTGGCGTGCTATGTGTCTGTAGCAACATCACTTTGTCGCGGCCATCGGCAGTCTGCCATGTGTTGTCTCAATGTAGTGATGGTGCATTATTTCCTCGTATTAATTTCAGATGTTGAGATTGGTGGTTGTTCATTGCTTGAAACTCTGTAAGTAGGTTTCAAAAATGGTTTAGTTCAGTTATTCGTTGGCTTGTTGATGCCAGGATCTCAGAATGAGAGAAGATAGTGTTGCTCTGAATGATTTCACCTACTCGACAATTATGACAGCAACAGTGGCCAGCATACCTCTCCAAATTCAAGCTCAGGTGATCAAGACAAACTACCGGTATACACCAATTGTTGGAACTGCACTTCTGGCATCTTACTCGAAGCTTTGCAGCACTGAAGAAGCTCTTTCTATATTCAAAATGATTGATCAGAAGGATGTTGTTGCATGGTCTACAATGTTGACTTGCTATGCCCAAGCTGGTGATTGTATGGTGCCACAAATGTATCATCAAGATCACTATGCATGGCTTGAAGCCAAATGAGTTCGCGGTTGTGGCCCAACGCCAGCGTCTCGACTGGTCAAGTGGTGACGCAAGGACGTCGCTTGTCTGGCCGCTGCCATGCTGAAGCGAGGCAACACCTCGAGCCTACTCGACAAGGTAATCTATCTTACCTGGACGACTGGATTGGAGGGAGTGTTCAGTGGTACAGTAGAGAGTGTGGGTTGCAAGCTATATCGAATCACTCAGCTGCTTACTGGGGATAAAAATATATGTATGTGACGCCAATCTTAACAAGTATGCTTTTATGTGATGAATAATATATTAGTGTTTTTGTATAGTATGACAGACAATGCCAATATATAGCTCACCGAAATGAAGCTGAAAGAAATAAATTATACTCTGTTTCTGGCTCTCCAAGATACAATATCGATTATCAAATTAACATATTACAGATAACATATTGATAGCAGATCATCCATTGGCCCCTTGTATGATTGTTATCGTATTACTCAAATTCAGGATGCTTTATCAACTCCTCTTGGAGCTCGTACTGTTTTTGGTGAGCTAAAAAATCTGGTTGTCCATAATATTAGCCTCTGTTGGATTTGCTTGTTTATATGGATATTTTACTTTGTTCGTGGCAGTGGATGGTGTCCTAATTCTTGCTTATCCCCTTGCTTCTTTTTCTCTAGGTTGTCATGCCATTAGATTCATGCACATAGTGGATAGTTACTGATGCTATATTCTGTTTTGCAATGCAGATTCATGAAGGGTGTTAGGGATATTTAGCAGCGTCATTACTCATCAGCAGGTACGCTTGCTTTATTCATGTGAAGTCTAGAATAAAACTCGATAACAAATTTGATAAGATTAACTGGTTTTCTATGCTATTAACTTGATTTTATTCTAAACTTAATACCTGATATGGAGCGAGTGCACACAAGGCTGATACGGAGCGAGTGAGCATCTCGTCGGCTGATTATCGTCTTCGTGTAGCACATATATTTTTTGCATGTTTGATTTGATATCATAGACAGATTAGAAGTTTTTATATTTTGTATATATAGGTGATTTTGTATATAATGAATAACATTAATGTTTTTTACGTGGTGAAATTGTTTGAACTTTAACTAATTCAAATAGGAAATAAGTGATCTTTAGAGCATAATAGAATTGGTTAATCACAATTGACATTTTCAACACTGCTAGACGGTCCTAATTAAGTCCTAACATAGGAGGCACCTCACATTCTTCTCTGTAAGGTGCTCCGGCGTATATAGTTGTCGAGCAATACTACACGTGCGTGCCGCACATGCATATCCACTAGTCATATATAAAGAGTATAGATATATGGAAATAGAATCCTATATTATTTTTTTTAGAAAAATGACCATATGTAAGATGGATTGCGAATTCCAATCAATGAATAATCCTTCTATATATTTTTCTTACCATAACATTCAGATCCTTACGGTCCTACGTTTACCATACGCATGTACGCTCCAACGTTCCACGGTGTATATATATAGGTACCAAAAACGCATGCAGGGCACGAGTAGAACACTGCCAGCACTACCATCGTACGTAGCCAAAGGGCGATCGATGGACGTGACGATCTACACGAGGAGGGACGGGAAGGTGGAGGAGTTCACCCTCCAGGAGTGGTACTTCACCACGGTAAAGGAGATCAAGGAGGCGATCGGCAAGCGTAAGGAGGTCCCGGTGGCCTCCATGCAGCTCTTCCTCGGCGGTAGCGAGCTCATGGACGACAAGAACACGGAGGACTACTCCATCGTGCAGGGCTCGCGCATCCGACTCATCTACTACGATGAGTGATGACTGTTAGGATCGAAATGTGTATACCTCTCTGTGTAACCCATAGATCCGTAGTTAGGCTCCTCGACCTTGCGGAGCTTCACCGTAGCGGCAGCGTGGACGCCGATGCCGCCCTGGATGCAGCCTCGCGGACGCCAGTGCTCGGCGTGGTGGTGAGGAGGCGAGGTGGTGATACAGTGGGGGTCTCACTACCCCAGACGGATTTTTCCATGACAGCTAGAACCGTCACGGAAAGTGGTAGAAACCGTCAGGGATAGTTTTCACTGACGGAAACCGTCAGGGATACACCGTCGGGGACATACTGACAGGAAAGGTGAAGTTTCCCTGACGGAAAACCGTTAGGGATTATTTTCTGACGGTTAAAACCGTCAGGGAAGATCTAACGTGACGGTCCATACCCATTCTATCAGGAAATATTCCTGTCAGGTACTAAACCGTCAGGGATGGTTCAAGCTTTCCCTGTTGGTCGCAAGCCATCAGGAAATGTTTGAACTTTCTCTGATGGGTAGCAAACCGTCAGGGTAAGTTTTTTCTTCCCTGTCGGTTATCAACCGTCATGGTTGATGCTACTCCTGACGGTATAGCTTTGACAGGAATTAATTTTCCCATTGGCTTGCAGATCCAAAATATAACTTATTAGAGCCATTAAAAATACTTTTAACAGCAAATAATTGCAACAATAACAAAGTCATTGAACCATTCATCCATACTCAAGTAATACAAACATTACATTTGATGGTCTTCGAATATCATTTAAGTTGTTCATAACAAATACAACTCAATCCAAAGCTAAATTACAGTTACTGCCTCCTACTTAGCCTTCTAGTTAGGTACAGCTAGCATAACTTGAAGTACAGGATCAGCCACATGCTCAAATGGCAGTTTCATAACAGGAACCTATGAAGGCAATATATACCATGACATGCCTTGACCCTTGAGGAGGCAAAATCTGCTAGTAGGTAGCTGCTATCTCACAACCAACATACCTCTGTTGCACAACACGTCCTTCAAACAGCATGTTGGTTGTTGCCTTGACCCTTGAGAAGGCAATCTGCTGGTAGCTAGTTGCTCTCTCAACCAAAAACTGCAGCTTTGATGGCAATGTGCAGCTGTTTCTGCGCAAGCCTGCATGCTGTGAATAGACATTATGTAGCTGCTACTTCACAACTTGCTGAAATGCCTTGAATAGCAACAGAATCTGCTTTTGTTGCATGACGACCAAAATACCCCTCTTGCACAGCAAATGCCCTTCAAACTTGCTGGTTGTTGCACAAACCTGTAGTCCAATGAACAAAAGACTACGGCTCCAAAAAAATACTTCCTGCCATCACACAAATCAATGGCCATCGCTGTTGTCCAGGTTGGCTGAAGCATGAGAGGATCCATCTATGGCCCCTCCCTACATCGAAAACGAAATAAATTAGACCATACATGAGAACATGTATACCAGATAAATTCTGGAAATGATTAACTATGAAAGGAGCATACAGATAACAAAAAAAACATGTATTTAAAGTATGACAATGTGATAACTTAATATGTATCAACACTTAAGATTTAATCTCACCATCTCATTTTCTTCTTCCTGCAACAGTTCAGGTGGTATCTCTATCTGTACTTTGCTAACAATGAGCTGCAAGTGAAGAATTACCAACATGATCAATATTTTTTGACCTTCCATTGCAGACAGATAGTGTACCAGAATAGAATTGTACCTCAAGTAGACGACCATTACGCTTCACATCTCGAGTCAATACAACATTTTGTTGAGCCAATGCCATGTTTTGTTGAGTTAACTGACCGATGGTTGCAACTGACTCCTCATATCTTGCCAACAGATTCTGAAAAGCCCTAGAGGTTGCTGGCCTTGTCCCACTTGCCTTAGCAACATCAATTATCGTAGCCTTCTTCACAGCACCATCTCCTATTGCAAGACGACCATGGGCCAAGCCACCACCAATCTTGTATGCAATTTGACCATCAAAGGGTTGCTCTTGCCAGTTATCTGGGTATTTTTCTTGTAATGCCTCATTGTAGGCATCCTAAAAATAACATAAGCTGTTAGCCAAAAATTAAGAATGGAAAAGCACAGAAGTAGATAGAAATTCTGCTACATACAACAAGTTTCTTTGCATGTTGGGGAATTGGGCCAGCATTCCCATTAGCATCACAATTTTTAACACCAGCTTTCATGCAGCAGTAAGTGTTTGTTATTGTGGCTTTCGAAGGTCCATACTTTGCTCCCTTCAAGGTATAAAAAGAAGTGATCAATGTAAATGCCTAATAAATAATCAAAATCATTCAGAAAGAATTTGATTTTAATAAAGTAGATTACCAGAAATTGTTGAGTCTCAACTAATGGCCTAGAACCACCCCTATTTTGAGCGCCATCAGAATTTTTTTTTCGAGAATCTTGCCCAAGTTGCCTTTTCTTCAAGTATTCAGCAGAGCACCAATACTTGCAAAGGGATTCCCATGATTCATCAGTGAACCATTCAGGCTTGCATTGCATGTACTCTTCAAAAGAAAGTAACTTAGCACACGCAAATGCATCAGACTTTGGGCTTTTAATGATTTCCCGATAGTAGAACTTGATAGCATCTAGACGAGCTTGGTACATCATATTCTTGCATTGATTGTGTGCATATTTCTCAAATACACGGTCTGCTTCATCTTCAAGTTCTTCAGGAACTGAATATATGCTCTGCATAAGAAACAACCATCAAGCATTACTGCGATGGACAGAACTTAATTCTTGTGCAACATGAACAAAATGCAATGGCAAAACTTAATTCTCACCCAAAACTCTTGCTTCACACGATCAGCTGGTGTTTGACCATCATCCCTTACAGTGTGCGAATAGTGGGACCATTTGCTTGCATGATATTTGAAGTGACAACCATCTCTAGTAGTCCCTTCAATGATCGGAGGATATTCTTGCTTTAAAAGCACTCCAAGGATGGGGCCTTTCTTCATTTTATCATCAATTGAGTACTTAGCATAGCGGAATTGGCTGCCTCAATCAGAAAAGTGAATTAAAGGAAAAAAGGATTAGCAAGTTCTGACAGTAGCATTGTCCACACTAAGGAGAAAAAAATTAGTGGCCACATACTTGTCACCCTCAGGTATTAAGACTATCTGACCATTGCGAGGCTTATGCAGTTTATTGCGGCCCCTTATCTTCTTTGCTTCGGGGGGCTGACTGTCGACGTCATTTGTGACATCACTTGACCGTGGTCGCCTATCCGTCCGATGATTGAAGGACTGCATCTCCTGCCACAAAAAATGTTACAAAAGAATGTTAGTACAAGCAGCAGAAAAACAAAAACTGCACACATAAGATACATAGCAGCACACATAAGATGCACATAAAAAAACTAAAACCATCACATTGTCATACAATATACATAGCAGCACACATATCAGAAACATAGCAGGTACATCAGTCCAAATTTGGATAGAACTAAGACTTAAACATTAGTACAATAATTTCAGAAATACAAGAATCATTTTTAGAAATCCTCTTCTTCGTAGCAGTCTTCATCAGAGGATTCAGTACCATCTTCGTCGCCTTCTTCATCACTTTCTAATATCTCTTCCTGCTGTGGAGCAACAGTTTGCTTCTCCAGCTGTTCCAATTCTTTTGGATCAGTTATTTCATCTGAGGCTGATGTGTCAATCAATTCAATGTCACCTAGATCGATCACAAATGTGCCTTCCAATCCATCCTCTTGGAAAAATGAGATGCCATCTGTTGGCCCTTCAGTTTCAATGGAATCATTGTTGATGTCGATTGGAGGCAAACGATCTTTTGGTGCCACATGGTACACTACCCACCAGTCTATCAAACTAGGGTTATCACTAGCATATGACAGATAATAAACCTGTGTAACTTGACTTGCCAACACAAATGGTTCAAAATTTTGAAGCCTGGAGCTATGCTTCACTTCCACCAAACCAAGATTTTCAGTTCGCCTAACACCCCTAGAGGTCGGATCAAACCAACGGCAATAAAATAAAACCAGATCAAGTTGTTCCCTGCCTTCCCAAGAAATTTTAATGATGTCTTCAATAACACCAAAGTACTCAAGAGCATTTCCATTGGCATCAGTACACGTCACACAAACACCTCTATTGGTTGTAGCCAATCCTGCCTGCTTACTCTCATACTTCTCGGACCGAAATCTATATCCATTCACATCATAGCAACCATAGGAGGACACCCTTTTGCGAAACCCATATGAAATTTGACGCAACACATTGTGAACACTTGATCTGATTGCACACTGCAAACAGTTGCATTTCATTTATTAGTGTTTATTACGATTTAAATAGGAAAAAAAACTTGCTGAAATTGAGTTATGACATTACTATGTTTTTGAACCAATCAAAGAAACTGGGGCCTCTATTTCTGCCACGTGTGCCTTTCGAACCATTTAATCTTAAGTTACTAATATCCCGTGCACTTGGCTGTGAGCGACCCTTCCATTGTTCATTATCAAATTCTCTACAAGGGCATATTTAACATTGTTATAGTACAATTATCAATCAAAAAATAACTTTGAACCATATAAGTAGAAGGCATACTTGAAGAAATCATCCATTTCAGGGATGTTAGTTAATATGTATAGGGCTGCTGCCTTTGACTGTTCTGTTGTGAGGTCACGAAAACCCAGTGAGATGAAGCATCTACCAGTGTGCTCAAACAGTTCAATGCCACAATCCCTTACAGAAGTTGAGCCAGCATCATCATATCTAGGTGTTTTATTTCGAACAGAATGTACATTAGATCTAAAATACAGAGAAAGAAAGTTTGTAGCCTCTTCAACAAGGTAAGCCTCAACAATGGAGCCCTCAACTCGAGCCTTATTTCGGACTTTGTTTTTAATGCCCATAATATACCTACATGTTAAATTCCATTTAGTAAATCCAATAGGTACCATACTAAATAGATGAACAGCAAAGTTTTTGGTTCACCTCTCAAATGGATACATCCATCGATCTTTGGATGTGGCCTCCTAAAAATGCCTCATCAAGAAGATGAATTATTAAATGTTGCATTGGATTGAAGAAACCTGGGGAATATTTTCTCTAGCTTGCAAATAAGCACTCGCTATGTTCTCTTTCAATGATAATATTGACTCTTTGCTGATTTGTTTAGCACACAACTGCCTATAAAAATAACTCAACTCTGCCAAAGAAGTCCAAATACCTTCGGTAGAAACCCCCAAATGCAACAGCAAAGACACGCAATAATAAAGATATGAAAGTCATGACTTTTCAAACCAAAATCTTCTTTTGCAGCAGATTAACCCCACGCCTAATATTAGCAAAGATACCCATCTGAAAACTTAAGTTCTTGGAACCAATTTAGAATTTTGATCTTATCATCCTTATCTATACAAAGATATGGGGCCCTTGGTCTCTGCCACTTCCCATTCCTTTTATACAGATGAAGAGATGGACGGTCACAAAGCAGCTCTATGTCTTGTCTAGCTTTCATGTTATCTTTAGTCTTATCTTTAATATCAAAACATGTGTTCCAAATAGCTTCAGCCACATTTTTTTCATTATGCATCACATCTATATTGTGACGAAGCGATAATTTAGTAAAGTAAGGAAGAAGCGCCAAAGGCCACTTATATATGTCCATTGTGTTCTTTGCCATATTTGTCTCTATCATCGACCACCAGAGTAGCTGATCCTTAACCTCCACTCCGTTAAATTCCTAGGGGGTCCTTCTCAGTACTACCTTGCCCTTATGCGAAACACATTTTCTTCGTTTGAAAGGGATGATCTATAGGAAGAAACCGCCTATGGCAGTCAAACCATGTAGCCTTAAGGCCTTTCTTTAATCGATATGCATTAGCCTCACACATGCATTGTGGACATGCAAAATCCCATGAGTGCTCCATCCAAAGAAACATGCCATATGCTTTGAAAAATCATGTATTGACCATAAGTATGATGCTCTCATTGTAAAGTGTCGCTTCACCGAAGCATCATATGTATCTACCCCAGCCCACAGATTTAGCAATTCATCTACTAAAGGTTGCAGCAATACACTTAGGTTCTTTCCAGGATGTTCTGGTCCAGGGATGACCATAGCAAGGAATATATACTCGTGCTTCATACAAACACCGTGGAAGATTATAGGGAACCCAAAAAACTGGCCAACAAGAGTAAGCGCATTCAATTTATATGGTGTGAACCCATCAGTTGCAAACCCAAGTCTTACATTCCTAGCATCTTCTGCAAAATCTGGGAAATCATCATCAAATTGTTGCCATGCCTTGCCATGACATGGATGCAACATTTTTGTAGACCTTGCAACATGACTTTCTTTGTGCGAACGCATTAGTTTTGCTGTTCCCTCATGTGCATATAATCTTTGTAACCTATCAGTAATGGGCAGGTAGCGCAACACTTTACATGGAACCTTGTTTGATCCATTCTTATAGCGGGAGGTACCGCATATGTCACACTTATCCTTATCCTTGTTATCTTTGTAGTATAGCATGCAATTTTTTTCACAAACATCAATTTTATGGTATGGCATACCAAGGCCCTCTAGCAATTTTTTCGAACGATAGAAATTTTGGGGGATCCTAGAATTAGGAGGAAGGAGTTCATGCACAAGGCCCACAAAATCATCATAACATGCTACTGACAGATTGTGCTGTGATTTAATGGCCAATAGACGAGCAACAGCAGAGAGATTAGAGTGCAAGGTTTGGTCATGTACTCGCTCATCTGCACTAGCAACCATTCTATAGAAAGCTTGGGCAAAACCAGTTGGTGTTTCCTCAATTAATGGTGGGTGCCCACCAGCTAAGTTAACTAGCATAGCATCCATCTGATCTGTCTCACCAAATCCCTCATGTTCTACCTCTGAACCAATCACAAGGTCCTGGTTTCCCCGCCTCTCTCCATGTGATGTCCAAGTTTGGTAATTTTCTTTGAACCCATTTTGGCACAAATGCAACTCTATCCTAGGCCTTTTATGCTTGAAATAATTCCGACACATGGCACAAGGGCACTTAATCGTATCAGACTCGACTAATTCAGGGATTGAGTAGGCACGATCCAAAAACTCATTTGTTTTCTCAACCCATTCGTTCGTTGGCCTACCACGTTTCCAACCACTATACATCCACCCACGATCTGCCATATCTTATCTGCCAACTTATGAGAAGTTTAGAACAACTTACCAGCTGCAAATCAAATTCTGTGCATACAATTCTGGAAGCAGTTGCGAAATGGCAGCAAGAACAACCAATGAGATCAGCAGTGAGACACCTGTTACACATCGAATGAAAATATCAGTCATTGCTGAACAAGAAATGTACAACAAAAATCAGTTTTTTTAATACTAATACAGTGCAGAATCAAGAACGTGCTTTAACCCATTTTAAGAGATGGCTACAGAGAATGACAAGGTAATTAAGGAGGGAAGAACTAACCAACCATTTCAACCAAACCAGAGATATAATAAATAAAGCAAAATCTGATCACAAGTCCTATCACAACCAAAATACAAAGAGCGGAATCAATCAGATTAATTGACAATACAATTCTATTACCCATGCCAATAAGAAAGTAGTAGAAATGAACATAGGATAGTATACTAAAACGAAAACTATACTCCAAATTTTTTAACAATGCCAAAAAAAATCAGCTAATTTATAATACTTTTGAGATTATGGAAGGTTCATTGCAAGAAATGCTTACCACTAAATGGTAACTCCCAGTTCTGTAGCCAGAAGCGAAATGGCAACAGCAATAGCCTCGAGTCAACTTACCTGTTACAAATTTACAACTGATGTCAGACAAAACCAAAGAAGAAATAATGTATAGCATGAATCAATAAAAATCTGAGAGGAAGAACTAACCAACTAGATCTTCACTGGACAATCACTAGCACAAATCTCAGGTCGTCAATGGATGCTTAAGAAAATATCTCTCAGGCCATGATTCACCTCTCCCACTTCTGTATTTGCACAACACAATTTGCTTCAGGCCTAAAAAGAAAAGGAAGAAATCTCCACAAGCAGTTGGGGTAACACAATTGTCATGAGTACCTGGAATCACAGAGCAAGGAGATGAACTTGGATTGTTGATGCAACCTATCTCAGATCTGTGAGGTTGAAGGCAGCCACCTTTTCCACCGAACACATACAAGCAAGAACGAATTTGCTTCAGTTAAAAAAAAAAGGAAATTTCCACATACAGCATAAGAACAGAGTTCGTGGTACCTGGGTGGCAACGGA